GTTTAGTTTAGTTTAGTTTAGTTTAGTTTAGTTTAGTTTAGTTTAGTTTAGTTTAGTTTAGTTTCCTTTCCTTTCCTTTCCTTTCCTTTCCTTTCCTCTCCTTTCCTTTCCTTTTTTACTTTACTTTATTGTCATTGCACCTCATACAACTAAATTAAATACCATCGTCAGTGTACATTGTAACTGTCAAAATGAACACAAACACACATCCTTCACATTCTATACATTGAATTGAAAACCCCTAATATTGCTTTAATATTGCACTATACAGTAGAATTCAGTAGAGTTACTGCCCTGGGATAGAAGCTGTTTTTCAGCCTATTTGTCCTTGTTTTTATTCTCCTGTACCGTCTGCCAGATGGTAATAGTTCAAAAAAAGGGGTGCCCAGGATGAGATGGATCTTTGAGAATGTTTTGGACTTTCTCAAGGCAGCGGGAGCTATAAAGAGGGGAGAGGGCAACCCGTGATCCTCTGGGTAATGACGTTAACCCTCTGAAGTGCTTTCCTATCTGCCACTGTGCAATTGGCAAACCATACAGAAGTGCAGTAAATTAAGATACTCTCTATGGTGCAGCGGTAGAAGGTCACCAGCAGTTTTTCATTCTGTTGTTGTTTTCTGAGAAGTCTCAGGTAGTATAATCTCTGCTGGGCCCTTTTGACCATGGCTGCAATGTGGCACCCCAGGTCAGGTCATCTTTTAGGGTAACACCCAGAAACTTAAAACCGGCCACTTGGTCTCCACTGATAAGCAAGGGCTGGATGTCTGATCTGTTCCTTCTGTAGTCACGTGTGGCTGACTGGGTGGGCGTGGCCAGCTTAACACCACTCCCCAAACTGCTGGTATGTTTCCTCTTCACCCTGGGTAGACCGGGCCGAAATCACGCTGGCCTGATGTTTTCCTCTTTGCATTAGGTAGACCGGGCTGAAGCAACGCGGGCTGGCCCCTTAACATTTTCCAGGATGGCCCCCGTGGGCTGAATCCGACCACATCTCAGGCCGCATCAAGCCCACAGGCTTTGTGTTTGACACCCATGTTGTAAGTCGAGAACTATCTGTACACTTATGGTAGTTTGGGTTGTTTTTCTTTTCTTTTCTTCGCTTCCTTCAAACAGGTTTCATCCCAAGTATGAAACACCCAAGGACTGACATGGGTAGTCGCAAGCGTCCAGAGTGCTTAGCATGTGGAAAGAGTTTCCGGGACGTTTCTCAAGTCCTTCGACATCAGACGGTTCATACGGGTGAGAGGCCTTACAGCTGCCTTGAGTGTGGGCAAAGTTTCACCCAAAAGCCGGCTCTCAACCGACATACGAGGAAACATCTCAAAGGCGAAACCTACAAAGGTATGGATGAAAGCGTAAGACAGGGTCCACAAACTTGGCAACTTTAAGACTTGTGGACTTCAACTCCCAGAATTCTTAAAGCCTTAAAATTTGGAGACCTCTAGTGTAAGAGATAAGGAGTCTCCGGGTGTCAACATTCCAGCAAATCTCCATTCCAGCCAATAACTACAAGACAGACATCTCTCAAAAGTTCCTTCTATTTGGATAGTAACTGGCACATCTGTGGAATCCTGAATCTGAAAGTTTCGGGCTTCCTTGCAAAAGTAAAAACTACAAATCCATCCCCCATCCCCATCTCCCCATCATATCCGTCCCAATGTAAAACTTCCTTTCTACTATGCGCAACACTACGTGACCTTGAACCAGAAAAAGAATTTTATTTTGTCTAACTAGATATTCTCAAATGAATTCCCCCCTCCCGCTCCCCCTCAGTTGTGGCAGCGTGGGAGCATCGGATCTCAATATGGCTTCCAAAGCTGACACCAGGGTTCGCCTCTTCTCCAGTTCTGGAGATTGCAAGATGTATGTTTCTTATCTTACAAGTATATCTAGAACTCGTATTTTTAGAATACTATATTATGCAATTAAAACATTTATACTGTTGCAGCAAATCTTGCTTCCAAATCAGGACACAAGACCACGAAAGGTTGGAGAATACAGGTTTTATTTGCGCAAAGTGTTCAGAGCATTAACATGGCAAATTCTGAACCCCCAGTTCTTCCTGAGACAATATTTTTATACCTGTTATGACATCAGTGTAGATCTGGGCGTTACTCTTATTACATTTTACCAAATAAGGACAAAATTGCATACATTTCTATAAAGAAAGTATAAAGAGGAAATAACAAGTATATTTTTGATCACTCAGTTATCTTACACCATCAGTTATTTTCCATGTTCATCCTTGTTTACAGTAACGTGGTTAGTTCAAGTTCCTGAGTTCAGCAATCTTGTGGGTTACACAATGTTTTGTTAAGCAAAGCAACGGGAAGCCGGGACCTTTGCTAAATATGACTTGTTGACCTATACTAAATATAAAAAGTGCTTTATATGCTTTATATGAAAAGTGCTTTATATGCTCTTATCCAGCTGCTTCAATACGATAATATATGATTGTGTCATATATTAATATATTACTATACATATATATATGTGTGTGTGTGTGTGTTTTCTGAGGTTCTCGCAGGTATTTGTATGTGGATCTTTGGTTATTCAGGTTTTCTCCCGCGTAA